CAAACATAAAAAAGGAGGGGAGATAAGGACAATAGATGTTTGATAGGAAAGAAGAAGCAAACCACACCAGAGCACCCGTCAACCACCCACAAGAAGATTTCTTACTCAACAAACACAAGTTGAACTGTTTAAGTTACAGATGTTTGAATAGAAAGTAAAAATTCTACCCCATCCTAAAAATTGTGGTGAATGTGTTGTACAATTTAAGACAGTTTAGGAGGTGGGCTGTTTGGACTTTGTTAGACTGTCAGAGCCAACCTGGACTATGTGGGATACATCCCACCAAGATAAACACATGCTAGAAGAAATACAGTGGAGTCCACTGACTTTAACGGAAATCCACAGGTCCACCAAACTTTCATCAGTTTAGTCAGGTGTAAGGTATATAGAAAGATGTTGGTCAAATAGGACCCCCCCAAAAAAGAAAGAAAGAAATGGAGGACTTTACTTTCTTTCCGTTAGCACTGTTTTCAGATTAACCATGTTCAATTTAAGTGGACTCCACTGAATCTCCCATTACTCAACTTAAAGAATCAAACTGTATAGAGCGAGTACGGTGAAAAGCCTAACCTCATTAGATGAGAGACACTACAGACACCAAACTGTAAAATAACAAACATATACAATATCATTACCACAACAAAATTTAAAAAGCGTCTTAATTTTTCCTTCCTTCACTACTGACCTTCTCATCCACAGTGATGGTGATGTCCTTGTGCTCAGGCTCCACAGTGTCCAGCGCTGCCTCCGTACTACCAGCGGCCGAGGTCGCACTGGACATGGGCCTGAGGGGGGGGGGAGGACAAAAAGAAAACAAAAAGAAAGATAAGACCTTCTGTCACACAGTCTGGGTATCTACACTCCCACATCATTATCTCAAGAATGTAAGCACGATACCAAAAACAACTGTCATCATGGAGAAAAACATTCAGCATCTTACATTCCTAAATCAGCCTCCCTGTGACTCAAATTATCAAGGTAGCTCACAGACTAGTACACCATATACAATATAATGACTTTCCGCTTGAACCTTAACCAAGATCCGTCTCCCTCAAATCTCCTGTTACAATAAAACTTTAACTCACTTATAAATACTGAGCCTTTCCCATGCAATTCACCTTGTATATGATGAACATTCAGCAAACAACTACGTAATATGACACAGGCGTGCATTTGAACAAATCAGCCTGAAAATGTTACACGTGTACTTTGACGGAGGGTCTAGTGTTTTTTGCACCACCATTTTATTTCCAACGTATCAAAGGACAAAAGAGAATGCTCTAGTTTGAAACCAAACTTCATCAGATGTATTCTGTGGCACTACAGCAGATTAACTTTCAACGGCTGAGACATGTTTGGCATAGCAGCAAAGAGGTGGACACTAATCTGGACCTTATTGTTCAGGTGTATTAGGGAAACAACTGCTCATGTACAAGCAAGCACTTTGGTTCTTTCCCTCCGAGAGTGACATGAGTCGCGGAGTCGCACTGATGTCTCTAGTCCCTATCATTATCGATGAAATTTATACCTCTTACTTTAGAAATCCTTTCTTCAAATGATCACTTGGATTCAACGAATTTGTAAGTCAGCAAGTCGGGCCCGAGGACTTTACCTTGTTACGAAAATAAATCACTGCCATCTTGATAAGTACTTTGTAATGATAAAAGGATATAGGACAGATCGTGTGTGCGCCTTGCCCAGGGTCAAAGCAGAAAAAAGAGATAATACTTGATGCTGATGTCTTATAATGTTTTCATGTCATATATATATCATAATCATAACATTAAAACATACAATGCTAAGAGCATGCTGCCCACCCCTCCTGAGTAATCACTTTCTGATCCCCATACCTTCACATTCAATGTGTCACATTTTTAGCTTAATTTGACTATAGAAAGAGAGGCAAGAGGTCGCAAAAATTTTTTTTAACCCCAAAACTCCGCACTGAGCGAACCCGCAGCTGATTTTTAGACTAATGATCAGCAGTTAATGCATGCGCAAGGGGAAGCTATTCCTATTTTTTCTCTCGAAAAATGAAAGAGAGCTTCAAAACAGCAACTGCAGTGCCATCTGAAGCAATGCATGAACTTCCGCGGACACTTTTTTAACTGAGTGAACCATTTTGTAATACACATTGACTGTAGCCTATTCAGAATATTAACAACCCTACCAAGCCAAATACAGTCGAACCTGCCCTGACTGCCACCTCTATAAGACGGCCACCTGTAACAAACGGCCTCTTTCCATTTCCCCCCTTGCATAATTTTTTTCCATAATAATTTAACTGTCTAAAACGGGCACCTGTCCAACGCGGCCGCAGCCACCATATATCTTAACACACAACCCCTATAACACCAAACAATAACACCTCTGTCTTAGACGGCCACATTAGAGACGCCATTATAAAATACCGTTTTGACGAGATGCCATTATAAAATACCGTTTTGACATATATAACCATGCATTGGCCCCTGGCGTTGTGGGAGAGCCGTCATGTCCAATCACCTGTCGTTATTGTTAGGTAGTCCGTCCAATCCATCAAGTTGCGTAGGCCCCTCCCACTGTTGACCAATAGGCAACAAATTTTCAGCTGCTGGTGAGGTAAGCATGTGATCCCTCATAACCTCCCTGCCCAGAACTCATAGAATCTACACAAATCGTAAGTGAGATGAGTGGTCACTGTTTCCCCAGTCTGTAACAAAGTAACAATGGACGTCAACATAAATTTGTGACAGAAGCGTCACTCGTTCTCCGAATGGTGGCGACCCGTGTGTTTGTTTTACTATAGCACTCGGTTCATTTCGTATTGTCACCCACCCTTACACAAAAGCAGCGACAAAAGAACAAGGCCACCTTTATTCTCACCCCGGGTGAGAATAGCGCAGGCGAGTCTTTTGGCTATTCTCACCCGGTGGGCGTTCACCGTTATAGCCTAGGCCAACCAGTGAAGCGTTCACCCTGAACCACAGAATTCTACACTGTGATAACAGAATTATAGAATTCTGTGCTGTGAACAAACGTTCTAGATCTATTACTACTACTGTTAGTGTTAGCCTAAAATAAAAGCGTGCAATTTTGTCTGTGGGCAGTGGAGAGAGAGAAAGAGAGAGAGAGAGGAGTAGCGCGAGAACTTCCGGGCAAAACAAGGCGACCCGCGTAGTTCGGCTCGATTCGGAAAGTTAAATAGCCGTAGCATCTTTGTACAGACAACCAAATTAATTTAGTTTTCTTGTTTAAAATCATTTTTTAACTTTGTTTTGGTCAATTTGATCATCCACACCGATAGACAGTATTCAGAAAGAGACAGAGAGAGAGGGGAGGAGTAGATCTTACGAGAACTTCCAGGCAAAACAAAATGGCGACCCGTGTTGTTCGGCTCGATTCGAAAAGGGAAATAGCCATAGCATCTTTGAAGACGATCAAATTAGCTTACTTTTGTGCTATAACGTAATTTTTTCTTGGCGTTTATCAATTTGATCATCAACACCAATAGACAGTATTCCAAAATTAGGAAAAACAGGTCTTGTTTCACACCGGGTGAGAATAGCCTACGCTGGCAAGTCTCATCCAGGTGAGAATAGCCACTTCCAAAGAACAAACTCCCCCCCCCCCCCCCCGAAGCGAAAACAAAAACAACAAATCTTGCAGACTCTGGTATGATCTTTGACTTATTTTCACTGCTCAGAAATGTTGACGCTTTGGCCGGCATGTTTTCGCTTACATTTTATTCAGATTTGGAGAATTAGGGTCTGATTTGACTTACTTACACCACAACAACAACACCAGAAGGGAATGGTTTGTTTTCTTCATCTTGATCAGTCCTGCCTAAGACCGCCACCTGTCTTATACGACCACTTTTCTCCTTGACAATGGGTGGCCGTTTTAAACAGGTTCGATCGTATTTCGATTAGATGACTAGAATCTTGGTGTGTGTGTGTAGTAGTGTTGGGCCTGCAGCCTGACTGAAGTTGAAGTAGATCTAGATCTAGATCTAGAATCTAGATCTAGATCTAGATCTAGATCTAGATCTAGAGAGAAGTCTGTTGGCCGACTTGGTTCAGAGAGGGTGTTGGATAAATTTTCATGCTTTTCTCTTAACAAACCACAGCCCCAATTTAAACAATACAATATTCACATAACATGTGTCATTAGCAAAATGGCAGTAAACAAACCTGGTATTCACAAGCCTTGCGCAGGAACGCAATCTCCCTGCTAGTCTGACCACTGCAGAAGCCATCTTGAAATTATTGCTGCTGACCTTGGAGCAAGGGAAATCACTCTGAATATATCGTTTTCATTTTCTACTGTTCGCAATTCGCAAAGCAATATGAACGACTACAGGCCTGTCGAAAAATGTTGTGACTCTGACAGGCAAAAGAGACTTATAAAAAGATAGGTATTGTGAACATAACAGGGAAATCTAACTCAGCAACGAAATGTCTGAGCCTCCTTTCACCATCCGTATTCGTTCTGAGAACAATGAGGATATGGACTGGATGGTGAAACCTGATGAAGTCACATTTTTACAGACTCTGGTACGATCTTTGATTTATTTTCATTGCTCAGCAATGTTGACACTTTGGCCGGCACGTTTTCGCTTCTTACATTTTAATCAGATTTGGAGAATTATGGTCTGATTTGACTACTACACTTAATATAACCATTGTTTGTATAGGGCTATTGTTTACTTTCTAAATCTAAATATATCTAGGTGAGAGGCAAGAGTCAAGAGGGTCACTTCTACTTTTTAGTCAGGTCGCAGCTAGCCTCCCGTGGCTCTTCGAACTCAAAACTCCAATGCGCGTGCACAATTAACGGGCTCTCCACGGATATATGGTGGTCCCGACTTTTTTTTACGTCGAAGACCTGGAAGTGACTCGGAAAGTTCAAAGTAAAAAACCGCCTGTGCCAGAACAGGAAATGGACTCGGACTGGAGTCAAAGAAAAATGAAAAAAATAAAGGAAGTATAGTCTATAACCCAGCAACAGATAAAAGCCTTAAAGGGGATGGGGTACAATTGGGACAGGTTGAAAAGAAGGTTGTTGAAGGTTTGCTCATTGTCCCCATGTATCTCCCTCCACAAAAACTCATCCAGGTGAGAATCTTATGTTGTCCCCTGCACTCCAGCCATCTGTTTAAAAAATCTTCCCTTACAATTTTTCCAAAAATATTCCACCCAGTTCGTGCAAGCAGCGGTGACAGGGCAGACAAAATTCCTCTCGTGAATATCTGTAGTGTGTTAGTATTGAGGGTTTGGCTGGATTGTACTTTACCGGACCACCCGTCCCGGCCCGTGATTACTACGCACGTCTAGCCTAACTACGCACTCATAGTACTCTACGTGCGGACAAAAGGTAGTTCCGCGGGCGACTTCGCGCACGCACAGCGCAAGCCAGCAGCGACTGGCGAGGCGAGGTGAGCGAGAGGTGGTGGTTGAAGGTGTTGGGGAATTAACTTTGGTGGACCACCATATGTATCATACCAACAGTGGGGGGGGGGGGGGGGGGTTCAGGGGGGTTTGCCCCCCTGGAAACTATAATATAGAAAACACACAATGCGAAACAATAACATGAGCGTGTTTACATTCAATGTAACAACAGTGGGGGGAGGGGGGGTTTCAGGAGCCCCCTGGCAACAATAATTTAAAGACACACACACACGCACATATAAAAACAATAACATGAGCGGACAATCGCGAGCAGGGCCAAGGGGGTTGGAATCATGCAAATGAGCTCTTGTGCGTATCTCTAGCCCTCTATTGCACTTTGCCAGACCAGGAGTAGGCCGAGACAGCAGAGTCGCGAGCAAATAAGAATAGTGGACCATGTGATTAGATTGACCAATTAGCTTCAAGGTGTCAGGGTCGTGGGTCAAAGGGCACAGTGGCATGGTCGTGATGACTGAAAAACCCGGTAAGAAAGGTCAGTCAATTGTTGGCTGTCGAAGGGTGAGGATGTGGAAAACTGAGTACAGGAGAGTGAGTAGGGGAGCTCGGAAAGGAAGAATAGCGGGCCACTAGGCACCAGGGGCGCCATAGTGAATGTAGTTCCGACCTGTGGTCCGCTAAAGTACAATCTTACCGAGGGTTTACTGGCAAATTTCCAATGCCAACGTATAAGCCTGCCCCCCGTTGGAGTGGATGATTGTCCCAGGTGCTATGCAGCGAAGGATGATGGGCAGCAGGGTTGCTGCTGTGCGGTCTGGAACAAGTTCCAAGCACCTGCGTCCGGTGTTTCTGTCTACACCCTTAAATACCCACCGCTCCGGCACAGCGTGTCCAATGTTGTACTTGCGCTTTGCCAGTAAGGCTTTCGTCTATTTCAACGATGTGTCTGGGGCCCTGTATCACATACGGGTTGTTAACAAGCCAATTGGCACAAATGTCTCTACAATATTGGTACCACTGTACCACAGTTTCTTCATTTACACCAACTAACAATTTCATGTAATTTTAAATGAGAGTTGAACAAATACGAGTCTTTTCTCAAAGAGACTTTGATGCTCTAAATGTCTTACTTGCCTTCATGCGTTGCATTGATTTGTTTTTTTATTGAACTGAAATATCTTTCTTCATCAGGAAGTGTTTTCCCAAATCATGCCCAATTCGTCCCACACAGCATTTGAATGTAAGTACAGAATTCTTTATATACTTCTTTGTTAACCCCTTCAGACAGTTTTTTATTTTTCATCTTTTACTGCACCCAATATTTGCCAGCCAAGATGGAGTGGTGTCTGTAATTTAAAGGTTGTTTAAAAAATCAGTGATTTGTGCACTTCTTTTTTCTTCAGATTTCTCATCTTTCTTCAGTTTTTTGGTAGAATTCCCATCAATGCTGTTGTAGTGTGAATAAAATCCTATGTCATGTTGCATTTGAAAGGATTGTTGTAAATTGAAAGGGCTAATATAATGCAAAATACGTGTCATTGGTGTAAAAGTTGTTGAAATGTAATTCATGTTGAAGTGCTGACAGGCACCAGGGGCTGGGAGCTTTGGATTTGATCTTCATTTTATTTATGTTGTCATTAATGTTATTATTATTATAATTAATAATGTCTTTTGGTCCACGAAATAATTATCAAAATCGGCTGATTTTAGGATGTACATTTTTTGACAAGATGACATATTGGCTCACGGTGTTGACATATATAGTTTTCACAAGCTTTTGCAAAGGGGGTTACGGTAGAAATTGAGATAGGAGAGATCATAAAACCACTTTGTTATTTTCTTTTTTAACAGTTAGGTTAAGAACGATCAGTGATGGTTTTTGTTATTTTAAAAAGCAGAATAAAAGCTATTTCTTTACCTATTCAATATGCCTACTGTATTGCCAGCCATTTTTGTCCATTGTTTTCATTATTTTCAGTTTGAAAATTGAGCCATGTCAGCCTCCATGACTTAACTAAGTGCTCAGTAAATAATCTGTTGTCTACTCCAACATTTATTTGATTGAAGGTGTTTTTCTTTATTGGTTTGCTATTAATTTTATGTTTTTTTTGGTTTTTTTTACAGATGAAGATGAAGATGGTGATAGAATCACTGTGCGGAGTGATGATGAGATGAAGGACATGTTTAACTACGTAAGTGCCCACAATGCCTGAGCCCATTTGAGACAGGGATTCAAATAAGGAATTGTGTCTCTGAATGTGGCAGCTTTGGTGTTTTGAAAAGATTTCTAGAAGCTAGTTAAATAGGCCAATAAAAACGTTTTTAGTAATGTGAACTTTTATGTCTAAATAAATATTACAGAATAAAAGTGAATGTTTTTCAAGCAGTATTTTTGGATATTGTCTTTCTCTGACGTGATTGAGGTATTTTGTGACATTTTGTCCTTTTTTCCAGTACTTTGGTGAGATGAAGGAAGAGGACCGTGCGAGGGGTTTGTTTCCCCCACTCATCATCTACCCCAAACGTAAGTGTTACTGTGAGTGAGGCTAGCAAGCTGTACAGCATTGAGTTGTCATCAGTTGGACAATTCTTCTAAAAAACAGTAGCGCTTGAAGGTCACAAGTGAAGCCATAAGAATGTTTAACCAACTCACTATACGTTTAGGCAGATGAGTACATCTCTTTAGAAAAGAGAATGGTGCTGCTTTCTGCAACGAGTTGTGGCATTTGTGATCATTACAAGTTGCTATTTTTTCCTTTACTATACTTTCTACTATACTTTCTTACGCATGACATCTCAGCAAATTTTGATAAAACATTTTAGATATCTTCAGTTTTAACTTTTCAAATTATGTTTAAATTACTCACCTTTTGAAATTCCCCACGTTTAAGTTGTTCGCTTTTCTTATGAACTTTTCCTCGTTTATAGTTTTTTTCCAAAGAGTCAGGGTATACACACCAGTAAATTAAAGTAGAATATTTAACCCTCTCTGAGGTCGTTTTGTACCCCCACGGTTGTATTCCTCACGTTTTAGAATGCTTCTAGTATGAAGATCTCTTTGAAACTTTCAGTATTTCTCAAAAAATCATTTTGACAGACTGCTATGCAAAGCGTACGGATCGGATTAACGGGTAAATTTCTTCTTTGGAAAGTGGTGGCACAGAGTTCCCTACGTTGTATGGATATGATAGTAAAACACGACATACGGATAGGGTTAAGTAAAATTTATCTTCAGTTTTTTGTTGCTCTGAAATAACTTACTTGTTTTCTCAGTGAGTGTCATGACTCTTATCCTCCCTACTTGCCTCCCTGTGATTTTTGTTTTTATAGTAGGGAAAGCTTTTTACGCATGGTCACTAGAGAGTTAATTCAACATACAAAGTTTATCAACTTTGTTTGAAGTCTCAAGGACAGAAATCTGACTTCTGATAGTTTATGTTACAACAATGCAATATGATGTTCTGGTGACTCTGTTGGATCATCGAAATGTGGGCCTGTGGTCTGAAGTTCTAGAAGAAAATGCCGCAATGGTCGGAAAGTGGCATCTGGTGAAAATGGCAGGTTGAAGTAATGTAAGTCAAAAGGTCACTTTTTATACTTTTGAAAGTTACAAAAGTTGTGCATGTTACTGGGCGTGAAAAAGTAATCCACCTCACTTTTTAAAGAAGTGGAAATAGATTTTTAAATAGTCAGATTGAGTTCTGCCCTGACTGCCACCCTGTATATACATACTGCTTGATCAGCTTTGCTTTTTGTGTCTTTGCAGATGGAAAAACTCCACAAAACAGAAATATTCATGGACTTAAAGTAAGATGCACATCTAGACTTGTAATTAATTATCTTCGCACAATCAATTCAAAATGTTGCAATAGTATTTGTCTTCTTTGCAAAGAGATAATTGCACTGTTCTTATGTGTAGATAAATTTTAGTATACTAAATTGCTACCTGTCACTGCTATTAATTTTTTCCTATAGAGGATCATGATCATTGAACTTTATTTTATCTTGTCTTTTACCCTGACAAACAGGGAAAAAAAATAAAAGGGCCCATAGATAAGCTGTTAAAGGTTGACATAGTTCAAATTTTTATTTAGATAATGACTGCAGTATTTTTTTATAGCATTATTATATATTATTGTTTCTTCCCACCCCCCCACCCCCCCACCCCCCCATCCCCCCTCCCCCTTCTTTCTGTATAAAACATCGACCATTTGTAGATCCGCACCGGAAGTCAACCTGAGGAGGCTGCTCCGGCACCCAATCAGTAAGTCTTTGTATCATTGAAAAAATTGATAACTTTAGTAGGCTTAATAAGAGCAGGGTGAACAATAGTTTGGCATTTGTTTAATTGCATGTTTGCGTAAGAGCATGCTTTTCTTGTCACCCGAGGTGTGTGATATTTGCTGGAGACCACTGTAATATAATGTGAAGAATTCAGATAGGTCTTGATTAGAATGATATTATATTGTGTAAACATTTCTGATATATCTCAAATAGAAAGATATGATATAGTGTAAACTGTTCAAGTGTTTTTAAATTAGAATAATACAATATAATTTGCAACATTCAGATAGATCTCAGTTCAAATGATGATTATTATAATCATTCTGAGTTAGATCTTTCTGAATTTTTGTGAAAATATAAAGATATATAAGGATGATGTGGATGTATTACTGTTTGTATGTTTCACATTCATTGACAGGATTAGATCTATGTTGTGGTAATCTTTGAGACACACATAGCACAGACAATATTTGAGGTTATCCCTTGAACTCCCAGGCCTACATGACCATTCTAGAGAGCCTGAGACTGTCTGTGGCTGGGCAGAGAAAGGGTTAACACACATATGAAAAATATACTACTTAGATTTTTTTCTTTCCGAACTTATCTGGATGAAGAAGAAAAGCAGTTCTTTTTCCATTTCAACACTCTCTTGCCATATGGGTTGTTTGCGGGTGCTCTGATGTGGTGTGTTCCTTCTTTCTTAAAGATCCTCTTTCATCCTTTATCTTTCCTTCTTTTTTGTGTTTGTTACTCTCTTTGACTCATCAGCACATATGACTTATATGACCTAATTGTGTTGCAAGTACTGTAAAATTCTTACTAAAACTAAAAACTCTCTTCCCCTCATTAACTCATCTCCACCCTCCCCCCCCCTCCCCCTCACCCCTTCCTTGTGAGACCATGACTGTCATTGTTTGTGTGTTCCAGAGGTGGCCAGGTGGGGCTGGAGGGTATCCTGTTCTGTGGAGACATCACCAAGGACTCACTACATTATGTACAGATGTTGGGACAGGGGAACGGGGGTCGGGTCTACAGGTAAGGGAGGGGGCATGGGTGGGGGGGCTGCTCCTTTGTGCCTTGATGTGTCCTATTCTTTTTCATGCTCTAGCTCAATTCCCTCAAGCACTCTATTTCTTTTTATTTTAACTATTCTTTTACATGTTCTGTTCTTTTATGTGTTCTGTTTCTGTACATGTTTTATTTCTGTCTGTGTTCTATCTCTAATTTATGCTTTTTTTTCTTTTCAGGTTCTATTTTTTATATATTCCATTTCTTTTCACGTGCTGTCTTTATTCATGTTCTGTTTCTTTTTCTGTTCCATTTTTCTTCATGAACTATTTCTATACGTGTTCTATTTCTGTACATGTTTTACTTTTTTTTTTTTTTTACCTATGTTCCATTTGTTTTTTGCTCTTTTTCTGTATATATTTTATTTTTATGTTCCCCAGAGCTGTTCACAAGCCTACAGGGAAAGTAATGGCTGTCAAGGTAAGTTGTCTTACCTGTTGTCAAGTTGACCGATTTTTCCCAACATATTTTGAGGGGCCTGGATGTTATATATGACATTTTCCCCTCTGCCTCTTTTGTCTTTCCCACATAGACTGACTTGGCCCTGAGAGGCAGAGTTGAAATAGCATTCTCTGTCAGTGATTTATATTTTGTTGATAGAGGTGTGTAAAGTGGCACGTGTGTGGTTGGCGGGTGCTCTAGTTTGGTTTGCCCCTTCTTTCCTATTAAACATCTTTTGTCCTTATCTCTCCTCTTTTTTTGAAGTTTGTTACTCTCTTGTTACACCTCTAATCTATGACATTTAAATGACTAATTATGTTGCAAGTGCCATTAAACTTTTGCTAAAACCTTATGAAAGAGGCCATACCTCAGAACTCATATAAATTTTGAGACCTCGAAATAATCATACTGTGTAAGTAAACGAAATCTGGTCAACAGAGAAATCAAAATGACTATATATATCTTGGGAATGAACTTAATATTGTGGGTGGTTGAAGGACACTATTGGCAGGCCCCACTTTTGTATTTTCCTTCTGTCATTTCTGTCTGTCTGGGTTTTTTTTCCCCCCAAGCACTTGCTGATTGATGTCATGTTGATGATGTTTCTTTTTACTCAAATTCAGGGTAAAGGACAATAGGAACATTAACATTTGTGGGTCATTTCAGATTTTTATGGGTTTTTTTCTCTTTTTCATTCAGGAGATACAACTGGATATATCTGTGGTCATCCAGAAACAGATCATATCAGAACTAGAGATTCTTTACAAGGTAAGTACCGGCAGTCCTTTTAGCTGTTTTGTTGTCACAGACATTATTTCTCAATAGTCAAAGTGTTGGGCTCAAAGCTCAGTAGGATAATGAGTTCAATGAATTCCTGCTAATCTGCTATGCCAAGCAGCATTGGTCCCTCCATAATTTTGATTTCTCATTTTCTTTTTGGTCCACCAAACATGTAAACAGCAATTTCAAGATGAGAGAGACAGAGAGAGAGACAGAGAGAGAGAGACAGAGACAGAGAGAGACAGAGAGAGAGACAGACAGACAGACAGACAGACAGACAGACAGACAGACAGGCAGGCAGGCAGACAGACAGACAGACAGACAGACAGACAGAGGCACAGACAGACACACAGATGGACAGCTGTATTATGTATTTATGTATTTTATGTGTCTGTGTTTGTGTATATGTTTATGTACATATATAGTCTACATTCAGCACTTAACTTGTTGTATAATGTGGTTGCTCGTTTGCGCCATGTCATTTCTCCGTATTGTTTCTTGACAATTTTCTGCTCCACTTTCAGTGCAATTCCCGAATGATCATCTCTTTCTTCGGTGCTTTTTTCCTGGAGAACCGGATCTCAATGTGTACAGAGTTTATGGATGGTATGTATCGAAACCTTTTTGTGTATGTGGATGGTAAAGTTTGTTTCTCAAGCAAGTAAAGGATTTTATCAAGTTTCTCTTTCTGTCTTTTTAGGTGTTGTATTTCAATCATCATGGGTTTTACCTGTCAGGCAAAGTCAAAATAACCTTTCTCTTAGATGAGATTTTAGTTTAGTTTTAGTAGAGGTTTTACGGCACTCGCAACTGCATAAGGTCATGTGAGCGCCAGTAGATCAGAGGTGTTACAAGACAGTAACAAACATAAAAAAGAAGAAGGGGAGATAAGGACGATAGATGTTTGATAGGAAAGAAGGAGCAAACCACACCAGAGGACCCGCCAACCACCCACTTAGATGAGATTGTGTTGATGGGAGTGTAACACATAAGACAATGTCATATTGTAAAGTTCCTAGCCATACTTGAATCAACACAAAGGCCAAGAATATCCTGCTCTGCTTGCACAGGACATATTTCATGACAAATGAGGCAAAGGTAGACGGAGAACAATTTATTTATGAGAATTTGAACAGATGGTTGACAGGAAAGGACCAGGATATTGATTCTAGGTTTTTGTGAGAGCATCTGAGCTCAGAAATGAGAGGCAGACCATGATCTCTGACATGTTCTTCACATCTGGCACTTGTAGATACTGTAAAGCTGGTGAGAAACTTTGCCATTTGTCGTAAAATGTCGATATTGTCGCAGATGGTTGGAAGGCGCCACTAGTAGGTCCTTCTACCTTACTTTCCCTCTGTTGTTTCTGTCTCTCTGTCTGTCTTGCTTTTCCTCAGCACTAAATGACCAATATTGTGTTGATGTTCTTCTCTTTACTCGAACAAGTGGGTGGTTGGCGGGTGCTCTGGTGTGGTCTGCTCCTTCTTTCCTTTCAAACATCTATCATCCTTATATATATCTCTCTTTCTTTTTTGTGATTGTCACTCTCTTGTCTTGTAACACCTCTAATCTTCTGGCGCTTATATGACCTTATTGTGTTGCGAGCGCTGTAAAACCTCTACTAAAACTAAAACTGTCCGTCTCGCTTTTCCTTAGCAGTAAATGATCATTATTGTGTTGATGTGTTTCTCTTTACTCGAACAAACAAGTTGATATTGTGTCTCGAACAAACAAGTTGATATTGTGTCTCGAACAAACAAGTTGATATTGTGTCTCGAACAAACAAGCTGATATTGTGTCTCGAACAAACAAGCTGATATTGTGTCTCGAACAAACAAGCTGATATTGTGTCTCGAACAAACAAGCTGATATTGTGTCTCGAACAAACAAGCTGATATTGTGTCTCGAACAAACAAGTTGATATTGTGTCTCGAACAAACAAGTTGATATTGTGTCTCGAACAAACAAGTTGATATTGTGTCTCGAACAAACAAGTTGATATTGTGTCTCGAACAAACAAGCTGATATTGTGTCTCGAACAAACAAGCTGATATTGTGTCTCGAACAAACAAGTTGATATTGTGTCTCGAACAAACAAGTTGATATTGTGTCTCGAACAAACAAGTTGATATTGTGTCTCGAACAAACAAGTTGATATTGTGTCTCGAACAAACAAGTTGATATTGTGTCTCGAACAAACAAGTTGATATTGTGTCTCGAACAAACAAGTTGATTTTGTGTCTCGAACAAACAAGTTGATATTGTGTCTCGAACAAACAAGTTGATTTTGTGTCTCGAACAAACAAGTTGATATTGTGTCTCGAACCAACAAGTTGATTTTGTGTGGTCGGCAGGTGGCTCTCTGGACCGCTACATGCCGGTGGAGGAGAAGGTGCTGGGCCAGATCAGCCTGTGTGTCATAGAGGGGATGCTCTACATGTGGAACCTCAAGATTCTACACAGAGGTTTGCTCGTTTGCTTTTATCTAGGGTGGGGACGAAGATAACAAAAATAACTAAAAGAATAACAATGATGATGGTAATGATCATAATAATCAAGTGATAGTAATAATGCAAACTGTTCTCTGCCAGAATTGGTCTCATCGGCCATAGCAGAAACTGCAAATCATCTTAACCTTTAGTTCTCCTAATTCTTCTATTTAGCTTGAGAAATATTCTCAACAGCAGAAGTATTGGTCATCATTAGACTTTGACCAATGAACTATTATTATTAGTAATAATGATAATAATATGTGTATAACGTAATATGCCCGACATGCAGACAGGATCAGGCCCAACGATATGGATGTAATATCTAATTGGATTTCGCATTGAATATTCTTAAGTGAGCCATTTACCAGGGGTTGTGCTCTTGGTTTTCACACTAGACATTCTGAACATTTTATTGCAAGTGGATGGGTTTCCTTTTACCACCAACATTTCAAGTCGTGGCCAGTCGGAAAAGGAAGATTTTGATATTTTGTTAGCTGAGCCCCCTCCAGCATATCAGAATTTGACTCTGTAGTAAACTCGAGAAACACAAAAATGGGCCGATTTTAGAGTGAAAGTGTACCACCAACATTATGTTCAAGGCATTGTTATAGATGAGAGTGTATGTTACAGTAAAAGCAAACAAATCTGTGTGGCTGTCCCCAGATATTAAACCGTACAACATTCTAGTCAACACGGCCGGTGAGGTCAAGCTTTGTGACTTCGGTGTCAGTACTCAGGTCAGTGCAGTATCTGTCTGTCTGTCTGTCTGTCTGTCTGTCTGTTTCTCTTACTGTCTGTCTGTCACTTGTACTTTCTCTCTCGCTCTGCCTCTTCTCTCACTCACTCTCCCACTAACTCTCTTTCTTTCTCTGTCTTAATCTACCTCATTCTGTCTGTCTTTCTCTCTGTATGTCTGTCTGTCTGTCGTTGATGTTTTTCCTTTAAATAATAGCAATTTATAACAACTATCTCTCTGTGTTTATAGGTGGAAGGGACTACTGTTTTCAGACTTTACTGGTTTAACTCTTTTTATCCTATCCGTACCGCCACGGACTCTGTACCGGTCCTGGGGCCGCCGCGCCGTATGAGTCGGAAGTCAGTGCGTATATTTCAAAGTGCTATATTTCTTACGTTTACTCTAAGGTTTTAAGGAAATTTGGCAGTTAAGTTAGAAATTGAATGTAGTTTTTGTAAATGTATGTGGTTAGGAAATACACCAATAGCACAATGTAGATTTTGAGGTGTATTCCACCTTCGAACTTGACCCTCATTGCCGCGCCCACGACGCCCCACTGGATTTTATAATAAATCTAGATCTAGCCCTACCCATCGAGCGCAAATTCCAGCTGACCCTCTCACCATGATCTGAATCGCTATTAGATGAGTCTAAGTCCTGTTTCTTATCATCCACAACAGAATTTACGGCTCTTATTTCAGAGTCACTTTCATCAAATTAGTATCATTCCCCCTCATAACCCAGCGCCACTTCAAAAAGAACTTCGTCGGTCGTGAATGTGCGTTTTCGAGACATCTTTCAAGCTTCTACACCCATCAGAAACAAAGAAACCACTGTTCATTGGAAAATTAAAATATTCAGACAGAGCTAGCATCGCCGTATTTGCGTATTTTGGTATTTACAAGCAGAACTAGCTTCTTTGACGTGACCGCATCGCTGTTCCGAGAATACTCGTAGCCAGGATAAAAAGAGTTAAGAAATTTTTGGGTTTTTTTCTCTTTTTTCTCTTTTCTACTAATATAAGTAGTATTATTAGTATTATTTATTACTTTTATTGATGTTGTTGTTTTGTTATTCTTCATTATCATTCATTTTATTATTATTATTATTATTGTTGTTTAAAAAAATTATTTTTATCATTCTTGTTAGGGTTATTATTGTTGTTATTAACTTTCATTTCCTGTTTCTAGAGATTGTGAAGAGGTTGATTTTGATTTTTTTTTTTTCAGCTCGTGAAATCCATCGCCACCACATTCCTTGGTACCAACGTATACATGGCTGTGAGTTGGCCTTTCACCTTGTCCTTCATGGGTGGTTGGCGGGTGCCCTGATGAAATTTGCTCTTTTTTTCCTCTCAACCTTCTATCGTTTTCATTTTTTTTCTTTGTTACTCTTGAGGGACAACTTTAACCTTCGCACTTATATGACTTATTTGTGTTGTAAATGCTGTAAAACTCTTACTAAAATAGAAAAATAAAAGCCTTCTCCTTCTCCTACAGTTTGGCTCAGAGATATTGTAAAGTGAAGAATGATGTGGATGTTTTTGTGTCTTTCAATAGCTGTTTTTCATGTGGTGATGGAGATGGACAGTACTTTTCATATGATTTCCAGGCCTTCGTGTCATTTCAAATGTCCCAAAAACTGCTTGTCCAATTTATATTAGCGATAAGTTCTCAGTTTAAGTTAACCTTACAAGTCTGACCTCTGGACTGGCAAGTGACCTCTTGATTGCTGTCCACAGCCGGAGAGAGTTCAAGGTCACGATTATGGGAAGCCGGCAGAAGTGTGGAGTTTTGGGGTGACTTTGTTTGAGGTGAGTCCCATCGTGTGGGAGATGTGGCGCTAAAGGTGCCCTTGGTTGAATAAATAGATATGTGTGTCACGACGTGGTTAGAACATAAATTCGTTGATATAACATCATAATAAGCAATCTCCCCTCCTTCTTTTTTGTGTTTGTTACTCTCTTGTAACACCTCAAATCTTCTGCACTTTTATGTCCATATTATGTTGCAAGCACAGTAAAACACTTATTAAAACTAAAGAGGTTGCTTAAATAGAAAAAAAAAATTGTAGATTATATTGTATTTCATTTTACCTTCGTTTTTGGATCAATAATGTTTGGTTTAAGCAAACTTCACTAGAGTTTATTCATTTTCTGTCTTGTTCTTTCCTCAGCTGGCCTGTGGAAAATTGCCTTTTGCAAGTGTAAGTAACACGCTTTCCCTCTCTCTGTCTGTCTGTCTCTCTCTCACTCTCTCTCCCCCCTTCTCTCCCTCTCTCTCTCTCTCTCCCCCCTCTCTCTCTCTCTCTCCCCATCTCTCTCTCTCTGTAGATAGTTTACCTGGTACATTTGTACCGTCTGTCTTGTTTCTGTTACCTGGTGTCTGTTGTGAGGGTAATTTTTGACAACCCCTCAGGGCAGTGCTACTGACTGTAGTGTCTTTAGGTCATTCCCAAAGGGGGGACATTTCTCGTTCAAGCATAGTAAAATTGTAAATGGGCTGACTCATGTCACGCTCATAACTGTGTCTGATCTACAACAGGGAACTGCTGCTTTTTCTTTCCTGATCCTTACTATTGTCATTTTCCTCTACTTCTTTTGTATGTTTGTCACTCTCTTGTGACCTGCTATTTCCGGGGTGCCTTGATAGTCGAAGCAGACCTTGTGCTGTTGAAGCTAGGGAGGTGAGCAGTCTAAGTTTGATTCCCTGTAAAGACTTCTCTGTTGACACCCACCCATTGGCGCTCATATGACCTTATGCAGTTGCGAGCGCCGTAAAACCCTCTACTATATATAATATAATGTTTGACACTTTGCTTTGCAAGAGAAGAACAAGAGTTTGATTCCCACATGAGGAACATATTTTATCAAGTGCCGCCATTTTTGTTCTTGGATGTGTATCCCCACACATTGCCTGTGGCTTTGGGATCAAAAGTAACCTAGTGGATGTGTTGGTGGGTGCTCTGGTGTGGTTTGCTCCTTCTTTTCTATCAAACATGTGTCGTCTTTATCTCTCCTCCTTTTTTGTGTTTGTTACTCTCGTCCCTTGTAACACTTTTCTAATCTTCGGCACTTAAATGACCTTATTGTGTTGCAAGTGCCGTAAAACTCTTACTAAAACTAACAAAAGCAGCCCACACTTAGAGAGCGCCACTTGTAGGCCTGACTTTTTTTTTTCTTTTTCTTTTCTCTGTTACATATGTCTGTCTCTTTTGCTTTTTCTTTTTGCTATGTGACTGTTATTGTGTTGATATTTTTCTTTGTGCTGCTATGTGACTGTTATTGATTGTGTTAATATTTTTCTTTGTGCTATGTG